CCCCCCTCCTCCTCCTCTTCTTCTTTCTTCTTCTTCCCTATCTCCTCCTCCTTCTTCATCATCTCCTTCTTATCTTTCTGTTTCTCCCGCTCTTTAATCTTCTTCTTCCTCTTCCTTTCCTCCTTTTCCTCTTCTACCTGTTCTCCTCCTCTTCTTTCCTCTCTTAAACAATACAGATTACAATTTAAAACTCACATTAAAATAGAATGGTTATAAACAAATAAACAATTGTGTTACGAAACAATGCAACCAAGGACGGATGCAAGTAAACCAATGATAGGCTCTTGGGGGAACTAAGCTTTTCCTCTTGAGAGGAGACATGATGAGGGCCATGGATCCAGAGGTGATGTGTGGCAGGCATGGGCAAACACCTGGAGGGCCCAAGTTTGCCCATGCCTGCCATGGGGTTTTCTGGAGCGGAGAGATTTGCGACTCCTTAACAAAGGCCCCGGGAATATTTTGTTTTCAGACTTTTCTCAACTTGCTCCAAGTGCCTCTTTCTTACTCGTTTAGAGAGTAGGGAATTTTTTTTTGGGGGGGGGGGATACAGAATAGCAGCCTGAGAGTGAGGTCATGTCAAAAGGTCCAGGAAACGGCTCCATTATACACACCAAACAGGAAGCAATGAGACAAGACCTTGGCAACACTGGCCCTTATTTATTTATTTGTGTCCGAGGAAGTCTTGTGTGAGAAAGCAGCCACGCACTCGAGATTAGCAGACTTAAGGCTCGGGATCATGCTCGGGCGCATTGCAAGGTGACACTCCAGACTTTGCTCTCACGTTGATGCCTTTCGATAACCTCCAGAGAGTTTCTAACCATGCAATTCCACATAGTTAGAAAGCCATCAAGGCCCCCTTTGAGGTGCAAACCATATTGCTCATTAGGAGTTTTCCCAGACCAGGTATGGGCAAACCCAGGCCCTCCTCTCTCTCACCATCCTATCCTTCCTTCCCTTCCCTCCCTCCTTCCTTCCATCTTTCTCTTCCTTTTCTTCCTTCCTGTCTTTTTCCTTCCTCCTTCTCTCCCTCCCTCCTTCCTTCCTTCCTTCTTCTTTCCTTCCTTCCCTCCTCCTCCCTCCTCCATCCTTCTCTTCCTTTTCTTCCTCCTTCTCTTTTTCCTCCTCCTTCCTCCCTCCTCTTCTTCCCTTTTTCCTCCTTCCTCCTCTTTTTTTCTCCTTCTTTTCTTTTCTTCCTTCTCTCTTTTTCCTTCCTTCTTTCCTCCCTCCCTCCTTCCTTCCTTCTTTCTCCTTCCTTCCTTTCTCTTCCTTTTTTCTTCCTTTTCCTTCCTCTCCTCCTCCTTTCCTCTTCTTTCTTCCCTTCCTCCCTCCCACCCTTCCTTTTTCCTCCTCCTTCTTTCCTCCTTCTCCCTCCCTCCCTTCCTGTCCCTTCCTCCCCTTTCATCCTTCTTTCCTTCTCTCTTCCTTTTCCCCTTCCCTCCCTCCTTCTCCTTCTTTCCCTCCTTCCCTCCTCTTTTTCTTCCTTCTCCTTTCCTTCCCTCCCTTCCTTCCTTCCCTCTCTTACTCCTTCCATCCTTCCCTTCCACCATTTTGCCCTTCCTTCCCTCTTTCCTTCTTCCCCTTCTCCTTCCTTCCATTTCCTTTCTCCTCTACTTGCTCCTTACCTCCCCCCTCTTTTCATCCTTCCACCATTTTGCCCTTCCTTCCTCCTTCTCCTTTGTGTTCTTCCTTCTTTCCGTCTATCCATCTTTCCTTCTCTTTCCTTTATCATTCCTTCCTTCCTTCTCTTCCTTCCTTCTTTTTTCCCTTCCTCCTTCTTTCCTTTCATCCTTCCCTTCCTCTTTCATCCCTCCCCCCTTCCTCTTTCCTTTCCCCTCTTTCTTCCCTTCTTCCCTCTCTCCCTTTCTCTTTCCATCCTTCCCTTTCATCTTTCTTTCCTTCTCGCTTTCCTTCCTCCTTCCTTTCATCACCATAGTCAGAGGTTGTGAGGTCAGACCTCATAACCTCTGAGGATGCTTGCCATAGATGCAGGCGAAACATCAGGAGAGAATGCTTCTAGAACATGGCCATATAGCCCGAAAAACCTACAACAGCCCAGTTATTCCAGCCATGGAAGTCTTTGACAGTACAGTCCCTCCTTGTTCTTATTGGCAGCAAAGGGAGTTATCAGCTTTGAAAAACCATCCAGGAGGGAATGCCGACAACAACAACAACGTCCTTCCATGTTCACGTCCTGTTTATGTTCCAAACACGCGGGTGTTCAGCTTCCACTATCAACCCTCCCCTCATTACCCGTTGTTTATTCCTCTCCATGTTTGGCTTAAGACAGCCTGGAAATGCTTTTTTTTTAAAAAGGAGGGAGGGAAGTGTGGGAAAGATCTGGGTTTTGTTCCTGTCCGGAAATCCCTCCCTCTTGCAATCAACATGACATGCTAAGAAGAATCAGGGAAGGAAGGAAGGAAGACCAAACTGCAGCAAGGAGTGCACTCTGGATGTCTTCAAGGGGGGAGGAATTTATTTATTTGTTGTGTCAGGGCAGCCAGTCAAGTCAGTTATATTACATTTCTAATGGAACAAAGCAAACAAACAGACAAAATACAAAATTTGTGAGTTTGGTAGTTGATTAAATGTCCTTTGACCAGTCTCTGTCCCCTTGGAGTGCTTCTGGTGTTGCCGCAAGAAGGTCCTCCCTTGTGCATGTGGCAGGGCTCAGGTTGCATTGCAGCAGGTGGTCAGTGGTTTGCTCTTCTCCACACTCGCATGTCGTGGATTCCACTTTGTGGCCCCATTTCTTGAGGTTGGCTCTGCATCTCGTGGTGCCAGAGCGCAGTCTGTTCAGCGCCTTCCAAGTCGCCCAGTCTCTGTGTGCCCAGGGGGGAGTCTCTCATTTGGTATCAGCCATTGGTTGAGGTTCTGGGTTTGAGCCTGCCACTTTTGGACTCTCGCTTGCGGAGGTGTTCCAGCGAGTGTCTCTGTAGATCTTAGAAAACTATTTCTAGATTTAAGTCGTTGACGTGCTGGCTGATACCCAAACAGGGGATGAGCTGGAGATGTCTCTGCATTGGTCCTTTCACTATTGGCTGCTACTTCCCGGCGGATGTCAGGTGGTGCAATACCGGCTAAGCAGTGTAATTTCTCCAGTGGTGTAGGGCACAGGCACCCCGTGATAATGTGGCATGTCTCATTAAGAGCCACATCCACTGTTTTAGTGTGGTGAGATGTGTTCCACACTGGGCATGCATACTCAGCAGCAGAGTAGCATAGCGCAAGGGCAGATGTCTTCACTGTATCTGGTTGTGATCCCCAGGTTGTGCCAGTCAGCTTTCGTATGATATTGTTTCTAGCACCCACTTTTTGCTTGATGTTCAGGCAATGCTTCTTGTAGGTCAGAGCACGGTCCAAAGTGACTCCCAGGTATTTGGGTGTGTTGCAATGCTCCAGTGGGATTCCTTCCCAGGTAATCCTCAGAGCTCGGGATGCTTGTCTGTTCTTAAGTGAAAGGCACATGTCTGTGTTTTAGATGGGTTAGGGATCAGCTGGTTTTCCCTGTAATAGGCAGTAAGAGCACCTAGAGCTTCGGAGAGCTTCTGTTCAACCATCTCAAAGCTCCCTGCTTGAGCGGTGATGGCACGATCATCAGCATAGATGAAACTCTCTGTCCCTTCTGGCAGTGGCTGGTCATTTGTGTAGATGTTGAACATGGATGGAGCAAGCACGCTCTCCTGAGGCAGGCCGTTCTTCTGTTTCCGCCATCTGCTTCTCTGGCCCTGGAACTCAACAAAAAAGCTCCTGTTTTGTAGCAGGTTTCCTATGAGGCGGGTGAGGTGGTAGTCCTTTGTGATATTATACATTTTTCTCAGGGGGAGGAATGAAAGAGAGAGAGAGAGAGGAGGCCGCAAAGGAAAAGGTCACCAATGACCCACCAGGCTGTGCTAATTCGGAAGCAAGAATCGGGACGTTCTATGCGTCGGGCATACAGAAAGGACGAAAATCAGCCAAGCAGTCTTCCTTGGCAGCAGTGCATTTTTCAGACATTTTGGCCAAACTAATGCTCTCATTTAAGTTGAATCAGGTATTTACTTACTTACTTAGGGTTGCCAAGGTGCTTGTTTATAGAGCTATTGTTCTCCCAACCCTGCTATATGCCTGTGAGATGTGGACTGTCTACAGACGTCACATGCAACTCCTGGAATGATTCCATCAGCGCTGCCTCCAGAAAATCCTGCAAATCTCTTGGGAAGACAGACAGACAAACGTCAGCGTGCTGGAAGAAGCAAAGACCACCAGCATTGAAGCTATGGTCCTCCGCCATCAACTCCGCTGGACCGGCCACGCTGTCTGGATGCCCGACCACCGTCTCCCAAAGCAGTTGCTCTACTCAAGAACGGAAAACGGAATGTTGGTGGGCAGGAAAAGAGATTTAAAGATGGGCTCAAAGCCAACCTTAGAAACTGTGGCATAGACACTGAGAACTGGGAAGCCCTGGCCCTTGAGCGCTCCAGCTGGAGGTCAGCTGTGACCAGCAGTGCTGCAGAATTTGAAGAGGCACGAATGGAGGGTGAAAGAGAAAAGCGTGCCAAGAGGAAGGTGCATCAAGCCAACCCCGACCAAGACTGCCTTCCACCTGGAAACTGATGCCCTCACTGCGAAAGAAGATGCAGAGTAAGAATACAGCTCCACAGCCACACACGGACCCACAAAAATATTGGAAGACAATCCTCCTCGGATAACGAGGTATCGTCCAAGTAAGTAAGTAAGTAAGTAAGTACACACCAGCCAACTATCTTTCCTGTTCACGTCCAGTTCTGAGCTTGGGATGAAGAGAAGAGTCAACCTTTCTGCATAGTGTCCTCAAGGTGGGACTCAGAACTTCTTTCTTATTTGGAGGCTGTCTTGGAAACTCTTACTTCCTCTACAAAATGCAACTTTATTATTAGAGTTTAAAGATCTACATAGATGGACTTGCTGGAGTTAACACAGTCCTGATTGTGTCCTTTTACCAGCCCCACTTTGTGGGGAAACAGGAATTAATGCCACCACTATAAAGATGACCGTTTATTTGAAGAGTACACACCCAACAATCATTCCCATTCATCCCAGCAGGAGAACCGTGCGGCCCAGCCTTCTGCGCGGAACATGATACGTCTATCAACGACTGACCTGGAAGTTAACTAGGAGCAACTTCTCTCCCCATTCCCGCCCGACCCCCAATTTTCCCTTTCCTGGGCTGTGATGCTGAAGCATGCTTCCTCGATTATGGGCAAAAGAAGCAGCTCCATGGGCCACAAGATGTTCTCCTTTGGAGGAGTCTTTCCCCAGGAAAAGGCTCGTTGATGCATGTAGCCATCTAAAACTGGGGAAGAATATTGCTAGATGGGAAGAGAAGAGGCCACTTCTTGAGCCATCTTTGGGCCAAAGTCCATGCCTTCCCCAAAGGGCACCCGGGTGAGGGACTGGGGCAGCCAAGAAGTCTATCGGTGGCCCGTTCACGGCACCTGCGTCACTGCTGTTTGGAGCGTGGCCACAGCCGGCTTGCCAAGGAGCCCAGAAACTGCTGCTGCTTCTTGTGCTGAGTGAGGTCGGAAAGGCGCTGCTGCTCTTCCTGTAAGAAAAGGCACAAAAACTTAAGGGCACTGGCACAACTGGTTGAAAATTCAACACAAAATAAATATATAAACAAATAATAGTAAAGGTGGTCCCAGACGTCGCAACCTCTGAAAGTGCCTGCCATAGATGTGGGCAAAACATCAGGAGATAATGCTTCTGGAACATGGCCAGACTGCCCAAAAAACTCACAGCCACCCAATAATAATATTATTTTTTTTGTCGTGTCAGGAGCAACTTGAGAAACTGCAAGTCGCTTCTAGTGTGAGAGAATTGGTTGTCTGCAAGGACGTTGCCCAGGGGACGTTGCCCAGATGTTTTGATGTTTTTATCATCCTTGTGGGAGGCTTCTCTCATGTCCCTGCATGAGGAGCTGGAGCTGATAGAGGGAGCTCATCCACCCGTCTATGATCTACGTCAAGATCATAGAATCATAGAATCAAAGAGTTGGAAGAGACCTCTTGGGCCATCCAGTCCAACCCCATTCTGCCAAGAAGCAGGAATATTGCATTCAAATCACCCCTGACAGATGGCCATCCAGCCTCTGTTTAAAAGCTTCCAAAGAAGGAGCCTCCACCACACTTCGGGGCAGAGAGTTCCACTGCTGAACGGCTCTCACAGTCAGGAAGTTCTTCCTCATGTTCAGATGGAATCTCTTGTAGTTTGAAGCCATTGTTCCGAGTCTTGGCCATCTGCAAGGACGTTGCCCAGGGGACGCCCCGATGATTTGATGTTTTTATCATCCTTGTGGGAGGCTTCTCTCATGTCCCCGCATGAGGAGCTGGAGCTGATAGAGGGAAGCTCATCCGCCTCTCCCCGGATTTGAACCTGCAACCTATCAGTCTACAGTCCTGCTGGCACAGGGGTTTAACCCACTGCGCCACCGGGGGCTCCAATAATAATAATAATAATAATAATAATAATAATAATAATAATAATCCATCTTTAAATTCCAGCTAAATAATAATAATAATAACAACAACAATAATGGTGCATCTTCCAGCTCCATCTATGTAGTGGAAGTCCTAATAATAATTAATAACTAGAGTTGCAGTCCAAAACACCTGGAGTGCCCAAGTTTGCCCCGGCCTGTTCTAGAGATTGCTAGAGAACATAATTCAATCAAGAAGTAATAAAACCAGCCAGGCTCGCTCTCACCTGCTCCAGCTGGGTCTGCCTGCGTTTGAAGGCCTCCAAGGGATCGTCCTCCAAGGAGTAATTCTCCAGCACCGACCGGACGTCTTCCACTCCACTCAAGGCAATAGCTGCAGGCAAACAAAAGAGTTGCAGCAGTGTTGCCTCGAAGCTCAAACATCTCTCTCAGCATAAGAAAGGCAGAAGCAAAGAAGAAGAAATGGGGCAGCTGGTTTGTATTTCTGCGGAAACTATAAACCACCTTCTTTGGACAAAGTACTGAAACGCTTCCCCACCAGCCTCCCCTCAGGTGCCCCCTTTCCCTCTTACTCTTCAGAAAGGCAGAGAGGTCGAAGAGGGTCCGGTCATCTGAGTTCCCATCCCACTTCTTCAGCGCCATGCCGTTGTAGGGCTGCAGGCGGAAGGCCTCCTTCTTGCAGTCCACCACCACCACCTTGGATGGGTCTCTGTTCAGGCAGGAGATATCCTAGGAGAAGGACGACGACGACAACAAAGAAATAGAAGGGGAACAAGTCAAACTGGCCTTCAAGATGGTTTTTCACATGCTGAGAGAAGCAGAAACATATACACTGGAGATGTCCTATTGAAGTCCAATACTTCTGCACTTCGAATCATAAAGCTGGAAGAGACCCCAAGGACCATCCAGACCAACCCTATCCTGCCATGTAGGGAAAGCACAAGTAAAGCCTTCCTGACAAATGGCCATCCAGTCTCTGATTAAAAACCTCCAAAGAAGGAGTTTCCTTTCTGGCCACCAATATTTTAAAAAAATCTCTAAAATTAGGACAGTAGATAAAGAGGAGCACTCAAAACCAGGGGAATTCCAGACAATAATTTATCAGGACCAGCCAACATCTCCCAACAAAGGGACTCCCCAGGCAACAACCAGTCAGGCTTCATTTATTTATTTACGGCATTTATATGCCGCCCTTCTCATCCCGAAAGGGACTCAGAGTGGCTTACAATATATATTTTCATACAATATATTATATTACTAGCCATCCCCTTCCACGCGTTGCTGTGGCCCACATGGGGATTCTGTGTGGGAGTTTTGGCCCAATTCAATCATTGGTGGGATTCAGAATGCTCTTGTGATTGTAGGTGAACTATAAATCCCAGCAAGTTCAACTCCCAAATGTCAAGATTCTATTTTCCCCAAACTCCACCAGTGTTCACATTTGGGCATATTGAGTATTCATGTAGAGTTTGGTCCAGATCCATCAAGGTTTGATTCCACAGTGATCTCTGGACATAGGTGAACTACAACTCCAAAACCAAAGGACACTGCCCACCAAGCCCTTCTAGTATTTTCTGTTGGTCATAGGAGAACTGTGTGCCAAATTTGGTTCAATTCCATCGTTGGTGGAGTTCAGAATGCTCTTTGATTGTAGGTGAACTATAAATCCCAGCAATTACAACTCTCCAACGACAAAATCAATTTTTTGGAGTGAAGGACATACACTGGGTCGTTAGGTGTCTTGTGTCCAAATTTGGTGCCAATTCGTCCAGTGGTTTTTGAGTTCTGTTAATCCCACAAACGAACATTACATTTTTATATATTGTATTATTAGTATAGTACAATATCAGTATTATATATTATGATATTGCACTATACCATTATATTGCAATATTATTAGTAATATTACATGTAATGTAAATATATACTTATAATATTGTAAATATTATATGTATATACAATATACTATACTATATTATTAGTAAAGACAAGATGGAACTGTCTTCCGCTCCCTTCTGTCTTCACTCTGGCTTTGAAGGCCATTCAATGCTAGTCCTTACAGAGAGAGGTCAACCCTCCTATTTTAAGGAGCTCCATTGGCTGCTGTTCATCTTCCGGTCCCAATTCAAGGTGCAGGTGCTTACCTACAAAGCCCTAAACGCTTTGGGACCCGCCTACCTGCGTGACCGCATCTCCGTATACGAACCCATGCAATCTCTCTGATCATCTGGAGAGGCCCTGCTCACGATCCCACCTGCGTCGCAAGCGCGATTGGTGGGGACGAGGGACAGGGCCTTCTCCGTGGTGGCCCCCCGACTCTGGAACTCTCTCCCCAAGGACATCAGACAAGCACCAACATTGGTAGTCTTTAGGAAGAGCTTGAAGACGTGGCTGTTCCAGTGTGCCTTTCCAGAATAGGAAACTCCTAGCATCATGTCCCAAATGCACTTTACTAGAGATTAAGATGGTCTGCACACCGCACCTATCTCCTAAAAACCTATCCATCTCACCTGTCATGTTCAGCATTTTAAAATTTTAATCATTACATTTGGACCGGCCTTAGTTTTAAATGTGCCATGGTGTTATTGTCTAATGTTTATTGCTATTGTTCTAATGTTTATTGCTTGTTTTATGAGTTTATTTATTGTTGTATTTGTTATGCTGTTGTTTTATTGATGTGTTGGGCCTCGGCCTCTTGTAAGCCGCACCGAGTCCTTCGGGAGATGTTAGCGGGGTAGAACAGAAGCTTTCCGAAGCTCTAGGTGCTCTTACTGCCTATTACAGGGAAAACCAGCTGATCCCCAACCCATCTAAAACACAGACATGTGCCTTTCATCTCAAGAGCAGGCAAGCATCCTGAGCTCTGAAGATCACCTGGGAAGGAATCCCACTGGAGCATTGCATTGCACCCAAATACCTGGGAGTCACTCTGGACCGTGCTCTGACCTACAAGAAGCACTGCCTGAACATCAAGCAAAAAGTGGGTGCTAGAAATCAATATCATACGAAAGCTGACTGGCACAACCTGGGGATCACAACCAGACACAGTGAAGACATCTGCCCTTGCGCTATGCTACTCTGCTGCTGAGTATGCATGCCCAGTGTGGAACACATCTCACCACGCTAAAACAGTGGATGTGGCTCTTAATGAGACATGCCGCATTATCACGGGGTGTCTGTGCCCTACACCACTGGAGAAATTACACTGTCTAGCCGGTATCACACCACCTGACATCCGCCGGGAAGTGGCAGCCAATAGTGAAAGGACCAAGGCAGAGACATCTCCAGCTCATCCCTTGTTTGGGTATCAGCCAGCATGTCAACGACTTAAATCAAGAAATAGTTTTCTAAGATCTACAGAGACACTCACTGGAACACCTCAGCAAGCGAGAGTCCAAAAGTGGCAGGCTCAAACCCAGCACCTCAATCCATGGGTGATACCAGATGAGAGACTCCCCCCTGGGCACACAGAGGACTGGGTGACTTGGAAGGAGCTGAACAGACTGCGCTCTGGCACCACGAGATGCAGAGCCAACCTTCAGAAATGGGGCCACAAAGTGGAATCCACGACATGCGAGTGTGGAGAAGGAGCAAACCACTGACCACCTGCTGCAATGCACCCTGAGCCCTGCCACATGCACAATGGAGGACCTTCTTGCAGCAACACCAGAGGCACTCCAAGTGGCCAGATACTGGTCAAAGGACATTTAATCAACTACCAAGTTTGCAAAATCTGTGGGTTTTTTTAATCTGTTTATTTGTTTTGTTCTGTTAGAAATGTAATACAATGGTATGGTTGCTGATGACACGATAATTAAATAAATAACAGAACTCAAAACCTCTGAGGATGCCTGCCATCGATGTAGGCAAAACATCGGGAATGAATGCTTCTGGAACACAGCCCGGAAAACTCACAGCAGTTGTTAAAGTTTAATAAACTTCCCCTATGTTTTTATGATAGTCCCAATTAGGAAATGACACTTATAATCCAAGACATACATAATGTTATCCAACACTTTCCCCTCTCTTCCTATCCTACTTTCTCCTTTAACTCAACGAGTGAAACACGTCCCTTGTTTTTTTTCCTGTCCAGCCATCTGAGGAACAGCAGGACGGAGGGGGACACTCCGCCACCCCGGCTTAAGGGAGACGAAAGAAAAGAAAAGGCAACAATCAGGAGGAACACGTCACGGAGAGAGAAAGGGGCACCCCGCCGGCTCTGGGGCAGCAGATGGGAGGAAAAAAAGGGGAGGGGGAGGACCGACAGAAGGCAGACACGCTGCAAAGCCAAGCAAAGCCATCACCCCTCTATTGTGGGAGGGCAGACCCACAGGACTTGCATTGCGGAGCACGAGGGAGCATCTGGCATCTCGGTCCTATCTTTGGGCCTTCCATGCAGCTCTGGAGATGGGTCAGAGCTATGACAAAAAGCAGGCGAAAGAATATCCACTCAATCAAATCCTCGGGGTGTTTTTAGGGCCGGCATGGGCAAACTTCAGCCCTCCAGGTGTTTTGGACTTCAACTCCCACAATTCCGGCTGTTAGGAATTGTGGGAGTTGAAGTCCAAAACACCTGGAGGGCTGAAGTTTGCCCATGCCTGTTTTAGGGCCATCTTTTCCAGACAAAAGATATCTTGAAAGAAACCTTCATCAGAATCTAACCCTGACAGTTTGGATCCGGTGGGGTTTGGTTCCAGGATCCCCATCGACACCCAAATCGGTTGATGCTAAAGTCTGTTCATATACAATGAGGTAGTAAAATATAAGCCAGGGCCTGAGCTCAAGTGGCAGTTGAGTTCCCACAGAAGTTGAGGAAGCAAGAAGCCATCTTGTTCCCTCTTCTTCAGGTAAGCCTTGTCTTAGAGTGCATTAAGAAGCTGAGTGAGTGTTTAAAATTAGCTGCTCTGAGTGTTTGTTTCGTTTGAGAAGTGAGGCTAAATTCTTTAGCCAGCAGTGATTGACAGTTGCAGGGCATCAATTAGTGACTCACTGTTCCCTGTTCTTTGAAGCTCTCTGGGAGGGAGTGGTTGTTGAACCTATATAAGCCAGGGCCTGAGCTCAAGTGGCGGTTGAGTTCCCACAAAAGTTGAGGAAGCAAGAAGCCATCTTGTTCCCTCTTCTTCAGGTAAGCCTTGTCTTAGAGTGCATTAGGAAGCTGAGTGAGTGTTTAAGATTAGCTTATTTTATTTATTTATTTATTTATCGTGTAATCCGCAACCAGAACATTGTATTACATTTCTAACAGAACAAAACAAACAAACAGATAAAAAACACACAAATTTTACAAGATTAGCTGCTCTGTTTGTTTCGATCGAGAGGTGAGGCTACATTTTTTAGCCAGCAGTGATTGACAGTTGCAGGGCATCAATTAGTGACTCACTGTTCCCTGTTGTTTGAAGCTCTCTGGGAGGGAGTGGTTGCTTCCTGTTGAACCTATATAAGCCAGGGCCTGAGCTCAAATGGCAGTTGAGTTCCCACAGGAAAAAAAATGTCATTCTTTATAGAAAATCAAGGTTCAAGAATTTCACAAGTGATACCTTCACGTGGTGCCCATCCATGTAGCGGGTGGCGTCGCGGAAAAGCCGGTAGGAGATGAACCCGTGAGGGTCGACGCTGTCGATGAGCGGGAAGGCAGTCTGGAACACGAAAAAAAGTAAACAGAATTATCTGACAGGCCCAAATGATGCCAGAACGTGGGCAAATATTGCAATTCCATTGACACACAATCCCATTTGGTTGTTCACCTGGCAGTTTGTAACGTGCAGCTCTCTCATGACCAGCCAGCCTGTTTGTCAAAAACCAAAGGAAGAAGCTTCATCTCTCTTTAGCTTTTGACAAAAGGCTGGCCAGTCATAAGAGTGTTTCAGTTCACTGACTGGCTGCAGTTTACTGCATTGCTAACATGATTTGATGTTGAGTCCCCTTGGGGAGATAGGATAGGCTATAAACAAAAGTTGTTGTTGTTGTTGTTGATCAATTTCTGTTTTATTGACTATTCTAAAGCTTTTGACTGTGCGGATCATAATAAATACTAATAGTAATACAATATAATAACTATATATTTCTTATTACATGTAATATTACTAATAATATTACAGTATACTGGTTTAGTACAGTATAGGAATGTATGTTACTAATATTGCGCTATGCTAATTGTATAATGTATTGTATTTACATATTGCATATAACTGCTCGGAGTCCCCTTTGGGGTGAGAAGGGCAGCATATAAATGTCGTAAATAATAAATAAATAAATAAATATGTATGGGGATCCCAAGTCACCTTGCCTGTCCCCTGAGGAATCTGCATAATGAACAAATAGTAACAGTAAGAACAGACCACAGAATAACAGACGGTCATGGGAGTTCTGTAGGCCAAGTTTTGTTCAATTCGATCATTGGTGGGGTTCACAATCCTCTTTGATTGTAGGTGAACTATAAATCCCAGTAACTACAACTCCCAAATGACAAAATCAATTCTCCTTCCAACCCCAACAGTATTGAAATTTGGCACATTGGGTAAGGTGAGGTAAAAGTTTTCCCCTGACATTCAGTCATGTCCAAGACTGGGGGTTGGTGCTCAATTTCTAGGCCGAAGAGCTGGTGTTGTCCATAGACACCTCCAAGGCCAACATGACTGCATGGAGCTCCGTTATTGGGTATTTGTGCCAAATTTGGTCTAGTGAATGAAAATTCATCTTGCATTTCAGATATTTTCATTATGATTCATAACAGTAACACAATTACCGTTAGAAAGTAGCAACGATAATTATTTTATGGTTGGGGGTCACCACAACATGAGGCGCTGTATTAAGGGGTCGCGGCATTAGGAAGGTTGAGAACCACTGTCCTAGAGCCACGGGCCACAACATAAAGGCCACTGCTACATGGGATCTGGCTGAAAGGCCTTCTAAGGGCCAAGGAGCAACAAGGAAGGCAGAGAAGGACTCAGGCTGATTCCTCAATGCTGTTTGCCGTCTGCCCACTCAGACTGGGCATCTCCTGACCGTGTGCTTGTTGTTTTCTCTCCCAATACAGGCCCACTCAATTAGCACGGGAACAACCCCGATTCAATGGGCTGAAAGGCACCCCATAGACATTCAAATGAGCCCCGGCACACTCCCTTCTGCCACTCAAGCGTGAGGAAGGAGAGCGGGGAAGAAGGAGCTTGAAGCAGGCCAACTCACCCGGCATTTTTCAGCCAGACATGGGCAAACTTTGGCCCTCCAGGTGTTTTGGACTTCAACTTCCACAATTCCTAACAGCCGGTAGGCTGTTAGGAATTGTGGGAGTTGAAGTCCAAAACACCTGGAGGGCCACAGTTTGCCCATGTCTGGCTTAGGAACATCTCTGAGGGACACTCACCATTCCAGTCTCGGAAGTGAAGATGACGATCTCGTAGAGAGGGGCCAACTGCTGGAAGAGGTTGTCGATGCCCGGCCTCTTCTTGAAGCGCCAGCCGGTCACAAGCTGAGGACAGAACGGGGAAAAATGAGAAGAGCCAGGAGAGAAAAGGCAACACAGAGGACACAAGTACAAACCAATGCAACAGTAATGCATTAAGAGCAGTGCTTCGGGAATGGGAAGTCCAAAAGCCAGCGAGAAGGAGAAAAGAGGGTAGGAAAATAACGGATGGGAGAAGGAATGCCTTATAACTTTGGAAGGTGTATCTAAGGCAGTGGAAAAAGTGGAGCATCAGCAGCAACTCCTTTTAAACTAAGCCAGTAATACAGAAAGAAAGGGAAAAGTGCAGGAAATCTTACAGACTTGGCTTATCATGTCAGAAGGGAATTGAAGGTACAGTTGTAATGTATTTAAAAACAAAAATGAAGTTAAAAATTTGGCATTATGCTAAATGTCCTTTGATCAGAAGCTGGCCACTTGGAGTGAGAAGGTCCTCCATTGTGTCTGTGGCTGTGTTCAGGCTGCACTGTAATAGGTGATCTGTGGTTTGCTCCTCTCCACCCTTGCATGTTGTGAACTTCACATTGCAGATTGGCTCTGCATCTGGTGGTGCCAGAACGCAGTCTGTTCAGCGCCTTCCAAGTTGCCCAGTCTTCTGTGTGCCCAGGAGGGAGCCTCTCATCTGCTCTCACCCATAGAATGAGGTTCTGGGTTTGAGCCTGCCACTTTTGGACTCTTGCTTGCTGAGGTGTTCCTGCAAGTATCTCTGTAGATCTTAGGAAGCTACTTCTTGATTTAAGACATTGGCATACTGGCTGATATCCGAACAGAGGATGGGCCGGAGATGTCACTGCCTTGGTCCTTTCATTACAGGCTGCTGCTTCCCAGTGGATGTCAGTTGATGCAATACTGGCTAAACAGTGTAATTTCTTTAGTGGTGTAGGGCGCAGACATACTGTGATAATGCAGCATGTCTCATGAAGAGCCACATCCACTGTTTTTACATGGTGAAATGTATTCCACACTGGGCACGCATATTCAGCAGCAGAGTAGCAAAGCACAAGGTCAGATGTCTTCACTGTGTCTGGTTGTGATCCCCTGGTTGTGTCAGTCAGCTTTCATATGATATTATTTCTAGCACCCATTTTTTGCTTGATATTCAAGCAGTGCTTCTTGTATGTCAGAGCATGGTCCAAAATGACTCCCAGGTATTTGGATGTGCTACAATGGTCCAGTGGGATTCCTTCCTAGGTGTTCCTCAGAGCTCAAGATGCTTGTCTGTTCCTGAGGAAAAATTATAATATCACAAAGGACTACCGCCTCAGCTGCTTCATAGGAAATCTGCTACAAAACAGGAGCTTTTTTGTTGAGTTCCAGGGCCAGAGAAGCAGATAGTGGAAACAGAAGAATGGCCAGCCTCGGGGAAGCGCACTTGCTCCATCAATGTTTTACATTTACACAAATGATCAGCCACTGCCAGAAGGGACAGGGAGTTTCATCTATGTTGATGATAATACCATCACCACCCAAGCAGGAAGCTTTGAAAGGGTTGAACAAAAGCTCTCCGAAGCTTTAGTTGCCCTTACTGCCTTCTACAGGGGAAACCAGCTGATTCCTAATCTATCTAATACACAGACATGTGCTTTTCACCTTAAGAACAGACAAGTATCTCAAACATTACTGACGCAAGGATAGAAGACACAGAGACTCTTTGCAGAAGTCATGGAGGACAAATACGAGGGAACCATGAAGACTTGATGTTACTCCCTTCCTTGGATTTTCACTTCCAGAGGAGTGAACTGAGCCTCTCTTGGAAGACAATTCCTCCATCATCATCATCATCATCATCATCATCATCATCATCATCATCATCATCATCATCATCATCTTTATAACCCACTTTTATCTCGATTGAGTTCCACCAAAAAGCCCCTAATGCCCATGTCTTCAACAGATGGGTCTGTGAAAGTGGTGGGACTGAGAGAAAAGCCTCCAATACAGATTATAAGCTCAAGCACAGGCTCATTACAGGGATATGGCCTTTGGTGGATCTAAGCTGTAAAAATCCAACAACACCTTCTGAAAAACATCAAAATGGCTACGCACCGACCATTCTGGGTGGAGGAGGACATCCGTGAGTTCGATGACTAAGGTGTAAGGGGGCTGATAATAGGGTTCCTTCAGGGGGTCTGGGAGCAGCTTGGGGCTGGTGGGCTCAATGATCATCTGGAAAGGAAAAGTCAGAAGAGAACTTGCATCAATCAAAAGCAAGAATGAGTAACAGGTCCCTGGCAAAGTGACTCAGCTTGGCTCAGAGATTAGCTTTAGAGCAGTGGTTCTCAACTTTGCTAATGCCGTGACCCCTTAATGCTGTTCCATATGTTGTGGTGACCCCCAACCATAATATTGTTTTCGTTGCTACTTGATACCTGTCATTTTAGTACGGTTATAAATCGTAATGTAAATATCCGATATGCAGGATATATTTTCATTCACTGGACTAAATTGAGCACAAATACCCAATATGCCCAAATGTGAATGCTAGTGGGGTTGGGGGGTGGGATTGATTTTGTAATTTGGGAGTTGTAGTTGCTGGGATTTATAGTTCACCTATAATCAAAAAGCATTCTGAACTCCACCAGTGATGGATTTAAACCAAACTTGGCACAAAGAACTCCCATGACCAACAGAAATCACTGGAAGGGTTTGGTGGGCATTGACCTTGAGTTTGAATGAACCACCTTTTCATTAAACACTCCGAAACTTAAGTAACCATAGCATGACCCCTGTATCCATAGGACTGGTATCTGTGATATCGTTTATTCTTATCTGACAAATAAGAGGGTTGAATGAAAAGTAATGCCTCCACCTTCGTTACTTGGGTTTGGATGGGAATATTTTAATAAATCAAACTCAGAAATAATCCTTAGAATGTATTGTCGAAGGCTTTCATGGCCAGAATCACTGGGTTGTTGTAGGTTTTTTCGGGCTATATGGCCATGGTCTAGAGGCATTCTCTCCTGACGTTTCGCCTGCATCTATGGCAAGCATCCTCAGAGGCAGTGAGGTCTGTTGGAACTAGGAAAAAGGGTTTATATATCTGTGGAATTACCAGGGTGGGACAAAGGACTCTTGTCTGCTGGAGCTGGGTGTGAATGTTTCAACTGGCCACCTTGATTAGCATATAATGGCCTGACAGTGCCTGGAACAAACTATTGTTGAGAGGTGATGTCCTTGTTTGTTTCCTCCCTGTTGTTGTGCTGTTGCATTTTAGAGTTTTTTAATACTGGTAGCCAGATTTTGTTCATTTTCATGGTTTCCTCCTTTCTGTTGAAATTGTCCACCTGCTTGTGCATTTCAATGGCTTCTCTGTGTAGTCTGACATGGTGGTTGTGAGAGTGGTCCAGCATTTCTGTGTTCTCAAATAATATGCTGTGTCCAGGTTGGTTCCTCAGGTGCTCTGCTATGGCTGACTTCTCTGGTTGAAGTAGTCTGCAGTGCCTTTCATGTTCCTTGATTCGTGTTTGGGCTGCTGCGTTTGGTGGTCCCTCTGTAGACTTGTCCACAGCTGCATGGTACACGGTAGACTCCTGCAGAGGTGAGAGGATCCCTCTTGTCCTTTGCTGAACGTAGCATTGGTTGGATTTTCTTGGTGGGTCTGTAGATAGTTTGTATGTTGTGTTTCCTCATCAGCTTCCCTCTGCAGTCAGTGGTTCCCTTGATGTCTGGCAAGAACACTTTTCCTCTGGGTGGATCTTTGTCTTGACTCTCGTGGCTTCTTCTCGTGGTCTTGCAGCTCTTCTGATGTCTGAGGTGGAGTCTCCATTGGCCTGGAGAGCCCAGTTTAGGTGGTTCAGTTCATCTTGGAGGAGGTGGGCTTCACAGATTCTTTTTGCACGGTCTGCCAAGGCTTTAATGGTGCTTCTTTTTTGACTTGGGTGATGGTTGGAGTTTTTATGTAGATATCTATCTGTGTGTGTGGGTTTTCTGTAAATGGTGTGACCCAATTGTTGATCTGGTTTGCGGATGACTAGGACATCTAGAAAAGGCAGTCTTCCTTCATTTTCTTTTTCCATGGTGAACTGGATGTTTGGGTGGATGCTGTTAAGATGGTCCAGGAACCTGTTTAGTTCTTCTTCTCCACGGCTCACTATTTGGAGAATCTGCTAACCCCACCTCCTTCGAAGGTAACTCCTCCTTTGAAGGAGTTACGAAGGTGGAGGCATTACTTTTCATTCAATCCTCTTATGTACCCTCTCTGGACATTTTCTAGGCCTTCCAATGCAATTCTATGTCATTCTTGGGTCAGTGGTCCTTCGCTATTATTTGTGGTTATGCGTATCCATGCGCAATCCAGGAACGTATCCTCCATACACCCAGGGGTCATATTGTGGACTCAACTTGCACATATGCTAGGGTTACAGCTATTTTAAATAGTCTGTCTCAAGTGACAATATCGTCTCATAAGGAAATCGCTTTCGGTCAATATTGTCACTTGGAATGTTTTTTTTGGGTGCTAAATATGAGAAACCAAACAGAAACGTTGCTCTTGGATGGGAGATGGCTAGGAACACATCCCAGGTGCCACAGGCTCTATTTCAGAGGAACCAACTGGCAAAACCACCGCTGAGTATCACCTGCCTAAGAAAACTCTATGAAATTCATGAGGTTGCCATAAATCGATAGGTAACTTTTGCATGCATATAAAAGAACACAACTACTTACCTGTCGGTAATCCTTGAAGTATTTGTATGACCTCCGGAGCTGCTGAATCACCACAGGGTCTGAAAGGAAATTGGGAAAAAGAAACAATCGGATGGTACATCCCATACACAGATATGCACAAACTCCTCTAAGTCTGAGGAATGCTTTTGCCAAGGAGAAATGCTACATGTGTGCAAGTATGCCCAGGATCAGTCCTGTTTATGTGCCACATTTTGAAACCAATTTCAAGCCTGTTCTAACTCTGATGGCTTCCAACTTAGAAATGTGATGTTTACAGAAGTTTCAGTTCCTCTAAAATTGAGAGGTAAAACTTCCAGTATTTGAGGTTGGAACGAGAGACACATTTGAGATTTTACTGCGGAAATGCAGTCTGGGATGCTCAAGTCCCATTAAGTCATTAATACTCAAGTCTCATTATGGACAATGGTAAAATGGTATCCTCTATATGAAATAGCAAAAGTTCACTTTTGGGATTGTTATAATCTGAAGTTGTGGATTGTTGAATCCTTGGGTGCAGAGTCGGTAGATACAGAAGGATATATGGAGGGTATCTCAAGTGGAAGCTATGGTTGAATCTATGGATAGTAAAGGTAAAGGTTTACCCTTGACATTAAATCTAGTAGTGTCCGACTCTGGGGGGTGGTGCTCATCTCCATTTCTACGCCGAAGAGCCGGTGTTTCCATAGATGCCTCCTAGGTCATGTGGCCAGCATGAGTGCAAGGAGCACCGTTACCTTCCCGTCAGTGTGACGGCGCGAGTGGCGCCACCTATGTATAGAACTGTTAGCTGTAAGACTTAAACTGTTGTATCATGCTTAATCTTGCCCCCTTTTACACTGCTCATGTATAGTTGTATGGATTGGTTGCTTGTAGCTGTCAATCAGTACTGTTTGGCTCCACCTCTTCCTGCAAGAGGGGAGAACTTCCTTTTTCTTTTCATTCTGCCATCAGAGTTCCTGCAACATGGATGTGAGTAAGAGACTTGATTCTAAAGCACCCTGATTTAACTTACCTCTTAGCACCAATTCTGAGGTTTTTTACCCCTGGGACTCATGCTTTATGTCCAGATCGTCCTGGACAATTATTGAGGAGACCCAGGCGCCTTCAAGCCGGTTCTTTTGGCACCAAAGGAAGATCCTGAATCTTCAAGACATAGGCCATCTGAATTGGGGTTGTGGTTTGCTCCGGCATTCACAGCCATTAAGGAAAGAGGAAACTTGGTGAGGCTTCTCAGCTTCAAACTCCTTGGACCCAGGACTAATTGAGACTGTAATGTATGTTTTCCTTCACCCCTCTAACGTTTTCCAGCTCATTGCTTCGAAGAAATGACTTTGTGATAAATAAAACTTATTTTGAGCTATTTACAGCGTTTTGGGTTTTTGGGAGTTCCAGTTTCCTATACGAGGGCAAGAAGCAATCCCTTGGGGGAAAGGTGCCTCGTCCATCCCTTCTTCATTAAGACTAATAGCCCCCAAGCGCGACGGCACAGTCAGATCTACTCACATTTGCATGTTTTCGAACTGCTAGGTTGGCAGAAGCTGGGGCTAACAGTGGGAGCTCACCCTGATCAAACTGCTGACATTTTGGTCAGCAAGCTCAGCAGTTTACCCCGCTGCACCACCGGGGGCTCTGAATCTGTGGATACAAAGGCTTAATTTAAGTGGAACTTTCAGTATATCCCTCGGTGTCCAACAATTCTGTTTTAAGTATGTGAATAGCTTTTTAATGGTTTCAGTGTGCTGTTCTATTTTAATGTTTGTGTATAGGGAGGTAAAGCAGAACAGAAGTAAACAACAACAACCACCCCAATCATAATTCCATTGGTAGGGAAAATAATCCCTTCTCGGTGACAAAGGTTATCAGAAGCAAGGGAGCCACAATTGGGTGCAGCTGTTCAGTAATAATCCAAGTCTGACGTCTACGAAGATGCCTATTAATTGCTCCCTGCTCCGAGGCTAGTGGTTCAACCCCCTCCTTTGCAGAAATAGCTATAATAATACAAAAGCCACCTGATGCAGCTTGAACATATGCAGGGCTCGAGCCCCTTCTTCCCTAAAGAATACTAATGGCTTCTCCAATGACAGGCCTTCCCTGCAGCAGGGGTCAGGCTGGCGAAGAAGAAAGAGCGTGTGAGCGGCTGGGTTAACTATCCCTCCGAGATTTGACGGAGCGGCCAGGGTTATTCAAACAGAAACTGTAAGTTAATCAATCAAAGGCAGGCCCCCTGAATGGGGCGTAATTTGGGAGCCATTCTTATGATAATCCCAGCCCAGCAGCTGGGGCCCAAAGGCTGCTTTGGCAGGCCCTCCGGGAAACGGCTTCAGGTGTCAATGCCGCAGCCCAGGCTTATATGGTGGAATTCAAGGGGAAAAACATATCTATCGATCGATCTATTTATCTAAAAAATGCACACAGAAGGCAGCCGATATCAATTACATCATTTTTACTGTAATTTTGTGTTAGAAAAAACTTTGAATGACACTATGCTGTTGAGTGGGGAGGAAAATAGCTTGGTCTAGGGTCGATTTCAGAAGTTACAAAACACAAATTTGCACCGTTGATGGGTTTTAAATTTACATTCTACCATTATTGTGTTTTAAATATTGTCTTGTCTTGTATTTTATTATTATTATTACTATTATTATTATTATTATTATTATTATTATTAAACTTTATTTGTACCCCGCTAGCATCTCCCGAAGGACTCGATGAGGCTTACAAAGGCCAAGGCCTCAACACAACAACAGCAAAACAATAACAATACAATTCAAAGTAAATTAAAAACATAAGCAATAACAAAACATTACATCATTACGCAATAAAACCAGGGCCGGGCCAGTGATGGGTACAGGTTAAAAAGTGCTGGGTGTGGCAGGTGGGTATGTTGGATTTCTGGGCAAGTGCAATGTATGTGCATTTTATAGAAATGTTTTTAATACATGTATTTTACTATATAATAATAATAATAATAATAATAATAATAATAATAATAATAGATTATCCACCCCTCCTTGTGGCTTGAGGCAGGGTCCAACACTCTGCTGGCTGTTGTATTGGATCACACGTCGGACACTTCCCAAGTGATGTATTGGCAAATAATATGTGCAGATCTAAGCAGGATGGCCTTTTGTAGCTGACAAGTGGTAATTTGGTCAGCACCAATTAAGTGCAGGCCAAGGTCTTTAGGCACTGTACCCAGTGTGTCGATCACTACTGGGAGCACCTTGACTGGCTTGTGCCAGAGTCTTTGCAGTTTGATCTTTAAATCCTTGTATCGTGTCAGCTTTTCCAGTTACTCCTCATCAATTCTGTTGTCACCTGGGATTGCAACATCAATGATCCATACTTGTTTTTTCCCACATTTGTGAGGTCAGGAGTCTTGTGCTCCAAAACTCTGTCAGTCTAAATTCAGAAATCCCAGAGTAGTTTGCCACGTTCATTTTCCATAACCTATTCAGGCTTGTGATCCCACCAGTTCTTTGTTGCAGCCAGATGGTATTTGTGGCACAAGTTCCAATGGATCATCTGAGCAATGGTGTTATGCCTCTGCTTGTAGTACATTTGCACAATCTTCTTGCAGCAGCGGAGTATGTGATTCATAATTTTGTATGCTTCCTTGCAGTCTACACTTAGAATCTGTCATCAACTTTTCAATTCTGGCTTTGATGGCATTGGTTCTAATTGCTTGTTCTTGCTTCTTCTTCTTATTGTTATTATTATTATAATTAGGTTCTTGTGGGGTTTTTTCGGGCTATAGGGCCATGTTCTAGAGGCATTTCTCCTGACATTTCGCCTGCATCTATGGCAAGCACCCTCAGAGGTAGTGAGGTCTGTTGGAATTAGGACAATGGGTTTATATATCTGTGGAATGGCTGGGGTGGGGCAAAGAGCTCTTCTCTGCTGGAGCTAGGTGTGAATGTTTCAACTGACCACCTTCATTAGCATTTGAAGGCCTGGCTGAGCCTGGGAAAATCTTTTGTTGAGAGGTGTTAAGATGTGCCTGGTTGTTTCCTCTCTGCTGTTTTGCTGTTGTAATTTTAGAGTTTTTTAATACTGGTAGCCAGATTTTGTTCATTTTCATGGTCTCTTCCTTTTTGTTGAAATTGTCCACATGCTTGTGGATTTCAATGGCTTCTCTGTGTAGTCTGACATGGTGGTTGTTGGTGTGGTCCAGCATTTCTGTGTTCTCAAATAATATGCTGTGTCCAGGCTGGTTCATCAGGTGCTCTGCTATGGCTGACTCTCTGGTTGAAGTAGTCTGCAGTGCCTTTCATGTTCCTTGATGCGTGTCTGGGCAACGCTGCATTTGGTGGTCCCTATGTAGACTTGTCCACAGCTGCATGGTATACGGTAGACTCCTGCAGAGGTGAGAGGATCCCTCTTGTCCTTTGCTGAACGTAGCATTTGTTGGATTTTCTTGGTGGGTTTGTAGATTGTTTGTTGTGTTTCCTCATCAGCTTCCCTATGCGGTCAGTGGTTCCCTTGATGTATGGCAAGACCACTTTTCCTCTGGGTGGATCTTCATCTTTCGTGGCTTGTTCTTGGTCTTACAGCTCTTCTGAGGTCTGAGGTGAAGTCTCCATTGGCCTGGAGAGCCCAGTTGAGGTGGTTCAGTTCCTCTTGGAGGAGGTGGGGTTCGCAGATTTTTTTTGCACGGTCTGCCAAGGCTTTAATGGTGCTTCTTTTTTGACTTGGGTGATGGTTGGAGTTGTCCTAATTCCAACAGACCTCACTACCTCTGAGGATGCTTGCCATAGATGCAGGTGAAATGTCAGGAGAAATGCCTCTAGAACATGGCCCTATAGCCCGAAAAAACCCACAAGAACCTAGTGATTCCAGCCATGAAAGCCTTTGAAAATACATTATTATAATTATTTGAAAAGGGCCGATTAAGATACTACGAAAACACACAGCACTGTAGTAACTTCTCCTTCGTTTGCCATTTTCCTATTTCCAGGGAATTCTGTGTCGCCTCCGGGCTAATATGGGCGGGATATAAATAATGTAAATAAATAAATAAATAAAATTTTATTTTATTCTGCTATTAAAACCATTGGAG